GTGTGGGTATGTTGTTTGTTTTGTGGGTTTTTTATTTCACTTCTGAAAAAAGCTGAAAAAAAGCAGGCACAGATTTTTGATGGTTGATGTCTCTCCACCACGTAATCCCCACATTCTTTTTTTTTTTCTGATAGGTCCAAAGGCCCTCACTCACTAAGCAGTTAGCTTACACAATTCGCTTCATTTGTCAGATGACCAAAAGAACAGGCATGCAGAGAATGTTTCTTCTTATTCTATACCTGTCTCTGAAATACTACTAGGCCTGAGAAGTAATCACATTATTAAACTAAATCTGAAGAGGTTTTAATTAAAAGTATATTTTTGTAATTTCAAATTGTAATTATATTCAAGGTTTAAGTGTTAAATTTATTAGACTGTGAAGAGTTTTACAAGGCATTCCTAATGTAATGAGCTTAGGCACCGCATATGTTGCATCTTTGGTACACGTTATGAAGAGTTGCTTTTTTAATGAGCTTTAAAAAACACATTTGCATACCAGAGGAAAAGGTCAGTGATGTGTGGATCAAGTCAGTAAATTAAGTATCACAGTATTATGTTATTATGATTGCCTTCCACAGACACACAATAACAAAACCATAGTTACCGTATTATTCTAACACTTCCATCTACGTGACCTTGTCGGCTAATGCACACTGGCACTCTGTGCCTCAGGTCCATCTTATTCCATCCCTTGCACAGGCATCCTTCACCTTCTTTCCTCATCAGCTCCAACAGCAGAACAGCTGGGTTGTCTGACAGTCAGACAATCAAAGCAAGCACACGCAGGAGGGGCTGGATTCAGTGTGATGGTCCATCTCCCAGCACTACTTTGCACTCCAGCCTTTACCCCAAGTAAAGACACTCAGGGCTAGGTCCTGAACCCTCATAACAAGATCAAACCTACTGGGCAGCAAAACATCATGACAGGGATGCCTCTTTCAATCCAAGCCCCACTCTACTCGTCTTTGTTCAAGGATGCAGCAGCACCATCTCTCTCTCAAAACACAGATACCAAAAGTATTTCTAACACTATGGTCCAAAATTTTACTTGCTTTACCAAAACAGTTCCTTTTAGCTCAAATGTTACATGTTTGGTAATCTCTAAAGACTGGTTGACTGTAGCTATATTGCAATTATTATACTGTGGTAAATAATAAAACAAGCTAGGAACTGACTGCAAATACACTCTCACCGGGTTTTCAGCAAAGAGTAAAGTTCACTGGAACTACCTTTATTTGTAAGGACTGTAAATATTGTAAATTCATAAATATTTTAATAGTACCTTTATTTTTTAAGGGTAGTTAAGTTGATTCCCTCCCCAATGCTGCAACAATCAACAGAACAGATCTCTCTCCCTCTGTGTTAGAGACTGTAGGTATATACTAAACTGTTACGCACTACATGATACTTTCTGCATGTTTATACATATCACAGCCAAGCAAGTGACCCTTCAGCTCTGTATAATGATGCAGATTTAGTCATTAAGAGAAAAAAAAGTCCTTTACAATATTACAATAGTAACAGCACAACTCAATACAACTGATCAGCTAGAAGTGGGTTTAATGATTTTTCACTTTTTGGATATGATAATCCTCAAAGTAGCATTCAAAAATATAATGCAAAATATTTATTCATTTTATTTACAAATAAAATGTGCGGTTTTTTTATCCTCACCACAGTAAATATTATTTTTTATGTGATGAATAGAAACTGAGAGACATTCAGAGACAAAAAGTTAATTTTAAACCCAAGAACAAAGATCTTCCCTTCAGTTATATTTTTGTAGAAGTTGCACAATATCATTTTTATTAATTGTTTTCAGTTGAAAAAGAAAACCCAAAAGAAACCAAAGACAACACTGAGGAATTACGTAGGAAAGAATGGGGTTTTTTTTAAACCATAAAGTTAAGTTTGTTGTGACAATCACAAAGCAAAGTTCTTACCTATATAGAATATAAATTTCTTTTTGCAGCTGAAATGTAGAATCTTTACAATGTAATGTTTTTTTCCCTTCTTACTATACAAATTGCCTTTAAGGGAAAAAGTATTCTAGTATCTTCCTTTCCCTTTGATGAAGCAACAGGTGCTTTGTTTAAAGAGCAATTCGTGCACAATAGTGCTTTAACTTGCAAGGCAGTACTCCTTTATTAAGTTGGTAGAATTCCACTAGCTGGATGAGATCAGTAAATCTGGTATGACCATCATCAAGGGTATAGAATAGCTTCCCATCATCTTCCAACTGTAAAAATGGAAAAAAATAAAAATAGAATAAAATTGTCCTTTGCTATGGTATTTCTTCCTGCTTGAAACACTTGAGAAGTTGTCTTTGTAGACCAAGATATTTTAATCTTATGACTACTGAGAGAAGGAAAAATACAATGATCATTCACAGCAAGATCAAAAACGCACAACAGAAAGATAAAGCATTCTTCAACTTCCCCTTTAAGTCAGGTATGTGCCTAAAAGGAAGGAACAGTTAAATAAATACAGTTATAATATAAAGAATAGTTATAATATAAATAATATTCTTTCTGCATTAATAATACTTCTTTATGCCTGTGCTTTGGAATGATAACTGGCGTTAATATGAACACTGAATTTTCACAGAATGACAAGAAACAGCCAAGTTTAACAGTCTAACTACTACATTTTATATCATTTATTTTGTAAGGTGCACACTACTTCATTTGTGTACAAGATGATATGTGTTACCCAAGAAACTGCCCATCGCAAAAGTAACATGCTTGATATAGTAATTCATTCTTTGTTGTAGGAGAAAGAACAGTTGCAGCTCCAAATTCATGTATTAGCATAAATACAGGTAAGAAAGAAGAGACTGCAAAACATAGCTTGAAAGGTTACTTTTGACTTTCAGATGCTTAAAAATTTACGATCAGTATTTCTCTATTCTAGGTTACCGAACATTAGCTCTCGCCCAATTTGATTGCACTGCTGACTTACTTCCTCTACTGTTGATACATCTAGTATCAAGAAGCTTCAGTGCAATAGTGACTAACTAGTACTAATGTAAATAGAGGATAAAAATCCCTACTAAACCTATCAACAAAAAAAAAAAAAAAAGGAAAAAAGAGACTTTACAAGATTTAGACAGTAGTGAACAGAAGATCCTGAAGTGGGGCTACTGTAGAGTAGCAGATGGCATGTGAGGGAAAGATGCAACTATCCAACTTGAGTACAGGGGAAAGATATAATTAGCTCTCTTACCTGTAACTAAGATTTCTCATCTGAAGCAGCTGTTGAACTGCTTACAACTTATGGTTATTCTATCCCTTTCTACCATGTCTGGAAGTAGTTTGCAATTTCTTTATTCTCAGACTTGGTCAATTGAGGTCAAACACTGCTAGTTAAGGAATTACCAATGTGTGCATGTGTAAATTCCTGTGCTCCAGCCAAGAGCCTGAAAATGGATTATCATCCACTGGACTTCCCTTATGAATGCAATTTTCCTGTCAACACACTGGAGACAAGGAAGAGTTGACAATTCAGATGTCTGTTGACCAGGATTTAATTTTCAGCTTGTTTATCCCCCCTCCAAATTAATCCCAAAGCTTGAACTGAATACCAGATTGCTAATTCTAAAGCAATCAGTATTTTGCAAAGAAAAAATTCATATCAAAGCTAAGCTGTTCAGGAACTTAACATTTTCTGCAAGCTAAGAAGGCTATTATGAAAGAACATTCAGTGGGAAAAAGACAGTCCCAGACATGTATATCCATTCTTCTTTCACATGGACTACAGAACAAGTCATTTCTACACTGAAATTAACTTGTATCAGCTCAGAGTAGTAAGGCTGAAAAATACATTTAAGATATCACGTTCTCCCATTTTCACAGTATGGAATCCTAGATGTATTCCAAAGGATTTCTTTTCAATTTTTTACAATCAGTTCCCTGCCACCCACCTGCAAAACCTGTTGCACATGCTACCAATGTCAACATGATGCACCTGTTAATGTGCAGGAAGCTTGAATCAGTAGGCTTCATGGCCTATTTGAAAGGAGACATTTTTTAATGCAGTATTTTTAAATGAAGCAACCTAAAATGTAAGACAAATATAAATCATTTAGAGACTGAATTATTTTTAATTTGTAAAAAGACCTTCTAAACGCCATTTATTTATTTACATTTAGTAGGAAAATTTATCTTCTCTTCCCAATGACTGGAAAAAGGCAAGAGTTTAGAAGAACAGTAGAATTTGAAGTTCAAAAAGATAACCTTGATCTCCAGTTAATAAGCTACCAACTTACTGCAGTAACAAAAAATGCCTTGTTTCTTAGAAGATCAACAGCAACTTCTCCCCCACCCCTACTCCCCTCAAAAAATGCTTTTCTGAACTCCTTAAAGAGTATTACCTAGCAATAAGAGAACACGCAGTAAGTTAGGGTATTGAGAATGGCATGAGGGTACTGAATGCAATGGCAAATTAGCTGACAGAAAGGAATTGAAATATGCCTATGTTTGGTGAACTACCAGGATCCATATTTACATTCTCTCTCCAGATTAAGTTGTTCTCATTGCAGATTTTTCTTCCCCTGGTAACTAGCATAGGAGAAATTGCTTTACTTTAAAAACAATTACAAAAAAATCCTTCAAGTAAGACAGGTTTTGCACTGAAGCGGAACAGGTCATCTAGAGTATCAGCATGGAAAATATGACCTAAGTCTGTATGTCAAAACAAGGAATTCCTGGTTCCTGCAAAGACCCTACAACAGGAAAGCAAGGTTTTAGCATGCATGTATAAGATTAATTCCTCAAATGCACTGCTTACATCTGTAGAACATTAGAATTGACCGGATAATTTTTCTGAAGAGAAGAGGAGAATCATGCAGCCCAGGGAAAACTGAAGACAACTGCAGCTTCTGGCTACATTTGCTCTTACAGAAGAGGGTCTCTTTCCTGATAGTGAAAGAAAAAGTGGTCTCTTGAGAGTTAAATGACATCCCAGTGAAGTAGAATCATACAGTATTTGTATGGAGTTGAGAAGGTTTTCTAAGCCACACAACAGTTATCCCGAAGTAAATAATAGAAGCGACTATAGTCAGTAGCACCGAGATCTTACACTCGGGATTCTGATCACAGAGCATACACTGACGCTCACAAGGAATCCAGGACATAGCTATCACTTTTGGATGAAGGTCTCCTCCATTGTTTATTCCTAAACCCAAGAAAAATCCTGAGCAATTCTTGTAACTAACATTGTTTCACTCCTTTCCTCCCCTGAAATAGTGCTTCAGTTTTATTCTACAGGAACTTTTTTAGGGCAGGATATCATCTACAAGCCCTAGGTAAGGCATATGGAAATTTGGTGAATGATCATAGTGGATCATCAGATCAGAAACAAAACAAATGCCACTACGCTCATTTCTACTGAGAAACAGCAAAGTGTCACAAAAACTTCAGTAGGAAGAAACGTGGAGGCTAGAATATTATGTGGTCTGGAAGAAAGGTTTTTGTGAAGAGAGAAGAAAAAGGTATGGGTCTGCTCAGTTATGTGGCTAAACCACGTAACATTGAAGTGGTTTTCATCTCAACAGAAGCATCCTGTACAAAAACCAGAATAAACCACCTCAGAAAAGAGTGGAAGAGATGGGGAAAGCTGGCCATTCCAGTAGCATAACTGGATGACATCTTCAATGAAAACTGATGGAAATAAAATTTCAATTTAGGAAATTTCAGCTTACCTGTAAGTACCTGGACTAAACAAGGATATCAATTTTTTGCTAAAATTGTCCCTTTGAAAAGACTTGGACAAGCATATAACATGAATTGAGAAGACAGGTCAGAAAAAAATGTTTGAAAAATATTGACAAACTATCCTGAACAGATGAATCACACGTATGAACACACACATGTCATAGGCAGGCCACCTAAATAGATGACTTAAATGTAATTGTGCACGTATCAAAAAGTGAACAGGTAATATGACCTTTATTAATACAAGATTTTCTGTCATTAGGGTTGCTTCTGTTACATATCAAATGGATTTGTCTATTTCTTTAAGACACATTTTAGGATTTCATAATATTAATCAAGCTTTATAACACATCAAACATCAAAGCTCACAAATGTTCAGCTCCACTCAATAATACCAATTATGTTTACAGACACAGGTTATTATGCTGACGTCTTCCGTATGACAGCAAAAAAACCCAAAAAACATCAATATTCTATCACCATTATCCAACTGTTTTGTTTTACAACCGAATATACAAACTGAAATATTTACTTACAGGTACAATCTGAAAATGCTTTATTTTTAATCCATGACTCAATGACAATACAAATGTTTTGGGGTTACTTTGGCTATCACGTACCAGGAATACCCTAAAAGAGATTGAAAATGTTCACAGTAAGGGCACTCTGGAAATCCTTTTGTAAACATCCACTTAAAACTGTTGTAAATTCATTACAGGAAGTATTAGTAAAGAGCAAAAATAACATTAATTATGTACGTCATGCTTTTAATCAGTGTTTCTTCGCAAATGTGTCACTTGAAATACACAGAATTACAATGCATCTCTTCAGACAGGAAAGCATCCTCAAAGTTTGTGCTTTGAACAAAATTTTTATTTGGACTTTGACCCAAATATTGTGTGACTGTGTTACCTAAATCACAAACGTTCTAGGGAAAATTCAAACCATAGTTTAACAGGAAGTCTACAGAAAGGGTAATGCAAGACTTGCAAAATGATTTTCACGTCTGGCCAATATTCATAAACGCACACTCACTTCTGCACATCAGCAAAATTCCCACTGCGACACAGATACACGCTGCTCACTTTATGGCATCATTATTCAAATCACAACAGGCATCATTATTCAAATCACAACACTCTCAATGGTCAACAGTTGTCACTGTAAACAGTTCACTGAAAACGTATTCCAACCAGGTTATAGACAGACATAATTTTGCCATAATCCTGGTAGGATAATCTGGTATAGGCTAAGGATGATTACCAATAAGACACAGCTGGGTTTGAAATATCGGCTGAGAACAGTTTGGAGGACAGAGGGAAGTACCTGATTCACAGCTTTGTAGTGGACAGAGTCCAAACTGTACTGTGTGGGTCTGGAACAGATACTGCTAATGAATGTACCAAAGAAGGGAAAAAGAGGGACAGCCATTGGAAGGCTTTTTGCTTTTTCAGGAGACAAAAGAAACAGGTAAAATGGACTTGCAGGTATCAACCAAGTGAGCACTAATGGCCACCTTCTTTTGCCCAACCATGTACCAGGAATGAGCGCATAACTTCTACATGAGAAGAAAGGACTTCAGGAGAAGAAAGCAGACAAAGGCTTACAGTGGATTTTCACTGACTAATGGCATGGACATAAACTACTAATTTCATTCTCAAAGTTTTTAAGAGTTCTGTTTTACAAGGTAAGAAAATACCTAGAATTAAGGATTTTGGAGTCCATAATCATTAGCATTGCCATCAAAATCCCCATCCATCCTAATTCGGAGCTCTGATATTAATTTAGTTATTAAAGAGGGATACTTGCCAACTCAGTATTCGGTAAGAGCACACAGCAAACATAAGGACAAATAAGACTTCTCTATAGACTACAGCTCTTTTAACAAGCTCTCTTTCACCACCTAGTGGCCTTTCACCCTCTCTAGGACATAAATTTTCAGAGCACAGTCAAGACTGATCCTTTGCATAAACTTGAATCTTTTATATGTTTGTCATTAAGGACTGGCATTTTATATTCTTCAGAAAAATGACACTATAAGAACGTGCCACTTTGCAGATACCCAAAATGGAGTCGCCAAACGCAAATACTGGGATTCATATTAAGCAGCACGCAAAGTAATCACATTGGGTAGGAAAGAAAATTCAGGTCAATTAGGATTTATGTTCCCATTCATGAGTTCTTTTAAAATTCATTTTCTTACTTTTTTCCTTTTTTAACAGAAAAGACAAGCAACATTTGTTCTCCTTCACATAAAAAGATCTTTACTCTTTTCTAACCTTATCACAATAGACCTATTTTAGTTGTCAAAGTACCTTTAATAACTTTATTATGAAGAAAGGGTTGTAGTTCACAGAATCTTAGAAATGTTAGTTGGTAGGAGGATTTTTAGACATGCTGCATGACTCCAAACAACTGCTCCTTCATGAACTTATAAGGAATTCTCTGAATGACCAGTTGCATTTTGTCATGGGCCTTTTGGTAATGCTTTTATCCCATTCATCGATCAGATGCCAATCAGCTTGCAATCCTGTCGACCACTTATCACTGAAATGCCTTCAAATGACCTTTAGGGGGTAAAGTATGAAATCTACAAAACTGCTATATAAACTTTGTTAAGATATTTGGGTTTATACCAGAACAGTAGATCCTAAAACTTTATTCCTCCATAGCACACCTTAAGACTGTTGCTGTCCCTGCTATTGGGTTATCCAAATACTGATACTACTGTATATCCATTCTATAATAGTCCCTTTGTCTTCTAAATGCCATTGTGAACAGCCTATTTGTTGGTACATATGGTATTAAAGAGGTCCTATGACCTCTGTCATATATGCAGGAGATCTCCCTGCGTGGGATCACCTCAAAAGGCTCAACAGGGATTATTTTCTCTGTCCCACCCTCTGCCCACAGAAATTAAAATCTTATTATTTCCAGCAAAAACTTTTGTATTTCTGGTGATAATTCGTTCTCTCAGTTTGTCAAAAAGCACAGCATTTGTTACATGCTGTAATGTATTCATGACATCACTGTAAGTCCTGAATACCTATCTGACAGCACAAGTGCTCGTAGCACCATGATCTCAATTCTAGACATTCCATACAAGAGTATCATCCTCACCAAAACCGAAATGTGTACCTATGAATAGATCTAAGATATAACATAAAGAACACTATACTAAACTAATGTTAGCAAGGTATTTATTTGCTCATCTTGAGCACCATTGCTCTTTACTCGCCAAATCTACTGGGTTTCATTTAACAGTGTGTTTGTGTGTACCCACTGAAATACACTGGAAAATTAATCAGCCCTGAAATTATACACTGCTTGGAAATACATGTTTGAGTCATCCCCATGTCCTGTCCCTCTCATGTAACAAATGGAAAATGAATGCGGAGTACAGAAGCAGCTTCAGGATCCTTAGACAGACATAAAAATAGGAACCCTTAAATGGAAAAAGAAAGGAAAATACAAAAGGGGAAGTCCAATTAGCCATCCTTACTGAACAGGACTCACTTTCCATTGCCTTTTTTTTTTTCCCCTAGAGCCCTTTCTGCAGATGTAGAAAACAGTATTACAACATACTTAATCTAAAACAGAAGGAATTTAACCAGTAATCTGATGTTACAGGTACCTAACTGGAAACAGACTCAGAGAAACTTAAAGAGTTTTATGGAATTACTTGTTGAATGAAGGAGGCCCAAGTTTACATTTAAGACAGGAGTAAGGATAAAAACATAAAAATGAAAAACTGGAGAATTGGAACTTAAAATACTTCCTTTGTCATTTTTAAAATTAATATTTACATGAGAGAAAAAGAAAAAAGTCCTATCCTAACATTTATTGTTTACCATTAAGGGATAATACGATATTTTAGTCTTTTGATGAGGAAAAGCATTCTTTTTTCAATGGCTGTCCCTGCACAGTTCATCTTAGAATAATGTTTTCAGGCTTTTTTTTTATTCTTTCATCACTAATAAGAGATACAAAAGACACTGGTACCAAAGTTGACAGTTCCCAGAGAATATTGTGCAAATACAGAGCTCAAGAGCCTGGCTCTGAGCAGACATAAGTAATCGGTCAGTGACAGAATCAAAGCGTTAGATCACCACTTTATTGCTTCCAGAAGATATAAAACAGAAATCAACTGATCCCCAGATAGCCCTATACAAAATAATTTTTACTTCTATCAGGTAAGTGAGAATTCTTTCTTCTTCCGTTTCCCTCCCCCAATAAGAAGTACATTAAAATAGCAGCTGTTGAGTAGAAATGTGTCTCAGAAGAGTTATGTAAGGAATTAACTTACCCATCTACAAGTCCATGCTGCAAAATAAGTCTCTGAGCCTCTTCTCTAGATATTTTATGATGAAACCATGACTGAGATCTGTGTATAGCTGTAGAAATAAAGATCTTTAAAAAATGTTTTGCCTTTATTGAAAGAACCAGCTATTGCATTTCTCTGGCAATTAATTAACTCACACATACCCATGTTAGACATGGCAATAGGGCTACCATGTGAGTTGAGTCGTAGACAACCTCTTCTCTGTATGAGAGAGAAGTAAAAACATGATTCCAAAGCTTTTTTTGTTAGAAAAATGAGCAAACAAAAATAACCCACCAACTACCCCAGAAAATACTATTCTGATAAAAGAAAGGTGTTTATACCCGCCACGCTAATCCTTCTTCAACTGCAACTGAAAGGGCTTCTGTTGGATTTTCTATAATTCTGCTTCTGTGTCCTGAGAAATCCATTGCTACCAAAGAGTTTTCTGAAATGCTTCTCTGCAACAAAGAAAACTAGATTTAGTTTGTTCATTTTTTAAAACATCCATCATTTAGAAGTCAGCTTCTGAAAAAACATTATGTTTTGTAAGTGGTGTTTCAAGTATCTGCAGTGTTTTCCATCAGAGCCAAACTCATTTAACCCGAGGGAGCATTTGTAATTCCAGTATGCTGCTGCAAACTGCAATTTTACAGTCTGGCAGGACAGATCATCTTTTTGCATTACTGCAATGGATGATAAGTGCATCAATTTACCCGAAACTCTATTTATATATTTAAATATAACTAGACCTTTGCATGTCAAAACAGGTCAGAAAACTGTTATTAAGTTGTCCAAGTAACAAAAAAAAAGGAGAAAATACAAAATTCTTATACAGAACCATCAAATTAACAAAGATTTGAAATATTTCATTATAAATTTCAAAAAATTATATATTTTTCATAATTTTTCACTCAAAGTTTACTGGATTTTATAGATTTAACAACTGTATGATCTGTTATACTTTTTCTCCTAGTGAAGATCAAGTTTGTAGCAACAGAATAAAACCACCAAAGTTTGACAAAACAGTCTTAAAACTCATCAAAATATTTCTCAGAAACCAAGGTTTACAAAATCAAGTATAATATGGATTGTAAAGGCTCAAATGTTGGCAGGCACTGGAATATCAAAAGATTAAAAGAACATTCTAGCATTGTGTAAGTTAAGATAACATCTGGAACACAAGAGGCCCAGATTTCTGTAGGGTTAGCAAAGCTTCCCAGTCCAAAACCAAAGCAGCTCTGTTTTGTTCCTATCTGGTTACAAGCATGAATGTAACTAAAAATTACAGTTCACTGTAATTCTTGACACTGTAGTCTAAGGTCTGCCGGAGTAACTATAACCTGTAAAGAACTTTGCAAAAGTAAAAAACACTGGCGAAATAAGAGAAAACATTTGCCTCTAGGAGAACAGAGGGAACTCCTTGTAGCTGACATGGTTGTCAGTTATTGATGAACGTGAAACATGGAAGAGGTTCCCCTGTGAAGTATGCTCATTAGCTTGTGCACTTAATTCCCACGTTTATCCAGTCTGCTGTTTAATTCATGAATTATGCACAAGTAGAAAAACAGTGCCATGCTTAATGTTGCTTATAGATTCTGCCTGTGTTAGAAGGTATGTGAGTTAAAAAGCACACAATAGTGTAAGAGGAGGGAGAACCAGTAATGGCTCCCAGATCCATTATAAAAGCAGCAGCTGGCTGTTGTAACAGCTTCATATAACAGAAAGCGAAGACATGGTCCATGTATTAATCACAATTTTGAAACCATGCTTAGTAGCAATATCACTGAAAACTATTTTTTTTTATTATCTGTAATAGCAAATGCATGTTTTAGGCATTTTAACGGCAAGAATTACAGCAAAAGCTCAAAAAATCCACCATAAAATCACTGTCATGAGTCCTTGCAACGAGTAATTTTTACTCAATTTAGCCAACAAAAACCACAAAAGTGATATAAATCATCCATGAAAAAGTCTGAAATCAAATGACTCATAAAGACCTGGAATAACATAAGGTATTAAAGAAAAAGACAACCTGATCTAATCCTAACTATCTGACTGAGGAGATGATCAGAGCACCTAGTATAGGCTGTTATTCCTCCAAAACCCAGTTCTGCCACATTAGTGTTCCTCTGAAGTCCAGTCAGTATTACATTAACTGAAATTCACCTCAAGTACTTAACGTTTCATATATAAAAAAATAAAATGGAAGTATTACTGTACACCAAAAAGGATTTGTTACAGCTTTCTTGTTCATCACTTACAGCATGTGTAACCTTAAATACTTTGCTTCTTTTTTAATGCATTTATAGTTCTGCTGTTCTGTTTCCAAAATCCTCTTTCCATTCTTTTTGACTGCAAGAATAAGCCAGTGAGCTCCCAAAATACTTGTGATTTGACAAAGGGAAAAAGCCTGTTAATTGGTCCAAACTACTTGATTTGTATTAAGTAATTAATTAGCTCTGTAGTCAACCCTGACAGCCCTAAATATTTCGGCAAGCATTTGCACATGCAAAGATTTGCAGGATCAGGTCAGTAGTATAACTGACACAAGTTACTTGATAAAAGCGTGATGGCAGAAACAATGTATTTATCCATGGAACTACTGTGGGACATACCATAGGTGTTATATTCAAAGGGCTGCAGCCACTTCTATCTTGATATGGTTGCATGTAATTCTGATACAGCTGCATCCCATACTAAAATCAGAAGATAACACAATTAGCATTTTAAATTATAAGCCTAAGCCAAGTAAATTGTTTTTCCCAGATGTAAAAGATAACACATGCTCTTTTTTGCCATTAAAACTGAGGGACAAGTGCTGTTAGGGTAAGGAAATGCACATTATTATCATTGTTGCTGCTGCCTTTACAAATGTACACTCTGTATTAAATACTACCCATTTAATACAAATGACCTATTCCTATTTTGTCACAAATAGACACATTTTAAAAACATACTAAAAACATTCTTGTGTATTCCTGTTGTTTTGTCCAATATTACTCAACAATCTCAGCAACTTCAACATGGTTACATACAAGCATATGCTTAGAGTTAAGCATTTGCAGGACTGAGGCTTCAAGACATTGTCCCATGCTCTACAATGATTCCAGTAACTTGGTCTCCATTTATTGAGATGAAATAAAGTAAGCTTTTACATTTCAGAGTACAAAATTGATATTGCTATTGCATGGGAACCTAGATACTCCTCTACCACACAGTATCAAAATCTCACATAGTAATAACTTAACTCCAAGCAGAAAAAATTACCTTAAGCAACCTAATTGCTGTCATCCAACAGGTCCTACTTTGCTCATCATCTGCACAGAGCTGTTTCAGGTCTCTGGTCCCTCCTGATTTGTTAGGCTAGAAGGCCACAGCACATTTTTTTAGCATTAATGCATATCTCGAAGATAATACCTGTTGAAATAAAAGCCACTAATTCTCCTATTTTATAAGAGACAGCTGAATACTGTTTTCAAAAACCTTAAAGAAACTTCAGCTTACCTAAAAACTGTGGCTTACTTTAATATGTATCATAATAATAATTGTACCTTAAAGTAGAATCCATAGTTTGTTGGTGCTCCAGGAATCTTTTTGCCTGTCAAAGACATGTACATATCACTATTGCTGAATTCACAGAAAAACTGCAGATGCCTTGGCTCCTAAAAAGAAGAGCAATGTAATACAGTTAGACTATTTTTAGCCAGCCTCTCCAGATAAGACACTCAGGAGATATAGTAGTTATCCTGTTCCAAAATACAGTCTTAACATATTGTAGTTTTGACTCTGACATCATGAAATCTAGAAAGAGACAACTCAGCATTAATTTCATAATGCAGAGAAAAAAAATGCATCAAACTAGTCAAAGAGTTAATTCTTCCAGAGAGGCAAAAAAACCCTCAAAGTACAAGTGATGGTACTTTTGGGAAAACATCCACTAAATTCAAGCCACAGTAATATTAGAGTAGGAGTCAAGTTTTGAGAGCTGTGTGCATTTCAAACATCAAAATAAAATATACTTTGATAATTTGAAAGCTTTCCAGTACTACTTCAAACCATTATCTCCATCCTCTAAGATAAACTAAGTCAAGGAAGAGAACAGAAGACATTTGCTGAAGGATACAAAATCAGCTCATTGATTGCTCTGGCAGTTAACACAGAAAATTCAGAACAAGAAAAATCTTTAAGTGGTTTATGTAAAAGGTGTCTCAACTCCAATGTATCCGGTTTAACATAATCAGGATTAAAGTACTGCCAAAGTATGAAAAAGTTGAAGTAGTAAAATGGAAAACTGTCTAGTGACAAAATGTGAGAACTCTCAAAATCTTCCTGTAAAATTCTATTATACATAGGGTTTTGTTTATTTTACATAATGAAGTAAGACATCCACTTTTCAGAGCATCTACTTCTATGTCAGCATTTTAACTACTAGTTGAAAATTCATTTTAAAAGGATACTGTGTTAACTGACTGGCAAAATACTAATCAAAATGAAGCAAACTTATCAGGCAAAAAGAAACTACTGTTCTAAGACAATACTTTCCCAATTTTATATCTCTCTAGATTTTATCTGAAATAATTTTTTTCCTTTTTATGATTGTAAGTTGAAACTCAAATTTTTGTTATTAGAACACATTTTAAATACGTACACATTTGCTCTAACTTCATAGTTCTATCTTTTTTTTTTTCTCCCCTTACCTTAGATGTACCTTTAGTGGAAAAATAAAGGCCAGATCTTCGCAAAAGAAAGTACAATTTTTTCCAGGATTTTTTTCCCTGCTCTTTTGCATGCAAATAACCATGAATCTCAGGATACGTGCTGGAGCTTAGGAACATCTGAAAGAAAATATCAGACATGCATTTTTCTTTCCATCTGAAACCAGATTTCTATTTCATTAACATACTCAGACAGGACTAAGGGGAATAAACCCCTAAATCCATTATCACACCACAGTAAAACAGTTATGATTGCATATAGTCCCATTAAAAGTACCTCTGATTTAAGGCGTGTAAAATGTTACACAACTCCAAGGTATGCTAAGCAAGTCACATATTTATATGGAACATATGGTTTGAAATGAGAGCATTAGTTATGCAATATGTTGACTTCAGCAACAAAACCAGTGTTAAGAAGTTCTGATCCCATGCCTCAGACCCTATTTATATAAAACTGCAAATGAATGCTACCAACAGAAGAAGGAAAAAAAAAAGTCACCCCTTCTTTCCCCTGTGTTACAAACCAGATAAGGGAATCGATGTGAGTTAACATTAACTCGTCAAAGAAATAACAAAAAACAAATCATAATCCCATTCAGGTCAAGTAGATACTACCGTTTTCAAAAGGAGGGGACAAAGGAGGGACCTGAAGTGGTGCCTATGTAAGGAGCTTTAGGAGCTTTAGTTGAGCCAGAACTAGAAGCTGGGCCAATCACCAAGACAGCTGCTGCTCAAGATACTCAATGGCTTCACTTTAGCCATTTCAATCAGACATTGTCAGAGTGCAACACAGTTGTTACCTTGCTAAGAACAAGTACACAGTTTTACTCAGTCTGCAGAAGTACCCATTAAAAGCTGGCAACCATATTAACTTTATGCTAATTCCATGAAATGCATTCATTTTTACTACTCTTCTTCCAATAAAACTGCTCAGAACTATGACTCGCATCTAAGCATACTAACCTAGAATTCCTTGAGTTCCATATAAGCAAAGGCACCAATGTTATTACTAAGCTTTTCAGTGAAACTTGCCCCAGGCTGGCCTGCAGTATCATAAATACTACCTAGACATACAGAGGTAGTGAACAAAGAGTTTTCTGGTTGACATCTGCAGTTTCCATTGCTGCATTTTCCTCCTGTCCACTGCCACTTCCAGAAAATCTGATTTGAGGACACAGAGCAACAGATTATCAGGCAACAGACAGATGGCCAGTACAGGACTGCAGCAAAATGATGAAATGAACGTGATTTTGGAAGTACACCAAGTTCTTCAGCCACTAAATAATATGGTCCAACCAAGAAACACAAGGTTGCTTTCACTTTTATTGTTTTCCTATCTTGCAGTCAGACACATGACTATACCACCTGTATACCAACCTAAACTAACTGAATTCAGCTGGTGTGAATGCAGTAACACAAGCAGGCTTCACTTAACAGGGGAGTGGCCTAGCTCACGAGGAATGCATTATGAATAGCTTCACCTCTATTCACTTGAATAGTTAAATTACAGTAAGACTAGGCACATCTATCTACATGTGCTACTGGCATACAGCTGTGTGCAAATGCAGTGTAAGCTACTTCAGCCACACTGGAGCAGATGGGTAGGTTCTGGTAGGTGTTCCAGCCTGTTAATCTCCTCATTTGCCATGAATGAACAGGTTTACTGATGGTGAATATAAAGGCTGAGTTGAAGAAGTATTTTAACTCCTTAAACAAAGTCAAATGGAATCTAAATCAGTCAATCTACATAAAAACAGAAAAGCATCCTTCTAGGCTTTAGTATCTCTGCTTAAGATGAAAGGAGTGGCTGGCTCACAGCCTGCACAAGTGTCTTTCCCAGGATTTCTGCTGTAAGAGCTTCCAACCAGAAGTACTGTCATGAAAAACGCTTTTCTTACTCAGCAGACCAAAGTGGAATACAAAATACAAAGCTCAGCTTCAACAGTCATTGTTGTGTCTGTGCTATCAATTAAAATAAAGTAGCAATAATGCTAGGAGAAAGGCAATCCCAGATCCATCTTTTTCTTTCTAAGACAGCTGAGGACTGTGTGAGAAAATACAACATGAACAAGCTGAAGTTAAAACTAGTAACTGTCAGAAGGAATGAGCAGAAAAAATATTTGAGAGTCAGAACTGAATGTAATAAACACCTAAAACTAAAGACAGTAGAAAAGATAACTTCATTGGGATTTTTTGTTCTGGGTTGGTTTTGGTAAGGTTTTTTGTTGTTGTTTTGGTTGTTCGTTGGTTGCTTGTTTTTTTTTAATGGAGGTACATAGAAACTTATTACTGGGAGAATGGATCCCTGTTCATGCAGGTAATCAAAATATAACTAAAATTAGAAAAATAAGAAAAGTCCTAATACAGGAAGATGAACAGCGGAGAGTTAAATGATGGTATGCTGAAGACAGGGATTACTGGTCACATGATATGCAGGAATAAGCTTGCACCCTCTCTCCCATGCCGTGAAATACATAACATGATTTGTAGGGTGGTGTCAAATGTCACTGTGTCTTTCAGATACTAGCATTTGACAGCACCAAGGACACAATTATGATTTGCTTAGCTGTAAAACCAACCAATTTAAAACCAATCTGAACAAAACCCGAAGCAAATAAATGCCTTTTGTTGGTAAAAAAACAAATCAAACCAAATCAATCAACAGGTGAAAACCCAACAGAACAGGAAAAAAACACTGCACTGTCTCAGATTAATATAATAATAGAAAAATCAGAAATTCTAGATGTCACTAAATGCAATGAAGTTTGAAAGCCATACTTCTAACTATAAACCTTATTTGTCTGCACCGTCAACATTTTTAATGAAAGACTAATTGTAGTAGCAGAGAAAATATTTGCTGAGGTGGATGCTTCTTGAGCACTTACATGCTATTTTGGAGAGTTAAAGAAGCCATCATTTTCCGAACACTCTGTGAATCAAGTCTGAATTTGATGAGTGATTTCTTCAAAGATGTGACAACAGTTGGTGATGATCCAGCCCAAGGCTACTGAGAATGAAGAGGATTTTCCCCTGAACCTGCTGATAAATTCTAGGGCACCAAGTAGTTCCAGTGAAGAACCAGTACTGATTCTCAGCATTGTCTCCTATTGACTTCAGTCAATCTGAGGGTTTTAGACCGGGAGGAAGACCAGAAAAGCCTAGAATGGAAAGTGAGGAAAGGCAATGGGCAGACTAGAACACGTCTAGGAGGTTGACAAGAGACTGAAATTCTGTGCATGGCTATTTCAGCCTGAAGACTGGAACAGAGTCAGACAGGAAACTGCTCAGGGAAAGACAGACTTTCTGTGACATATGATTAGAGAAAGCAAGCTTGACTCTTAAATCTGTGAAGGCAGAGAAAGGGAGCAACTAAGAACAGGGCAAGAGATGGCAATGGAGAAGGGCAAAAGGAAAAGTCACTATCAGTAATTCTACCTTTCACAAAATGATGAGTGCCTGTCTTGGTAATCCTGTTGTGTCTTTAACTTATTTTTTGCATATATAACATTGAGAGACGTATGTTCTCTTCTTTAATATATCCTACATCAGGTGCAAGGTTCTTTTCATTCCTCTAGAAGATAGGCTGGACATGTGCTGTCTACAGTAGCTTTTTCTAATGTATTCACATTACACGTACAAAGCTATTAGAAAAAAGCATCCAAATTGGTCAACAGAAGACTCGAACTCTGAACTTCATGTCTACCAACTGAACCTGAATATCAATTGCATCTATGAAGCAATGGGGGGGAGGAGGGGGGAAGGATGGAAGTACATCTATTCTTAAAACAGAACCAGAAAAAAGCATAATTACCCAAGCAATTTCAACCTTCTGTTTTGAAGGTGTCACTGTTGAATTTAAAACACTGACATACTGCATAGTGAAAAAATCTGTTACAAATACAATTAATATTAAAAAAACCAAAACTACAAAATTGCAGAAATGTTATTCATGGACAAAAAATAAAACGAAAGAAACATAGGATAAAATTTTGACTCTTCAAAGTAAGTTAAAAAAAAAACAACCTTATTTACTTCAGTGAGGGTAGGTTATCACTTACTAAGGACTCAGTTCTGTCAACACGCTCTATACTGTGCAGTTTATTCACTGGAAATGCTGTCATGAATAAGAGAGGCCTCAGATTAAAATCTACATACTATGCTCCTTTTTGAAATGTTTTTAAGCATCCAATTTGAAAAAATAACCTACAGCAAGACTTCCAGATGATCCATACTGTCTACCACTAGACATGTATACAGTGTTGTCTCAGAGCAGCCATACTCAAATCAATATAGTGACAAGCTTCTCTTTTTTAGCCTACAGGTCAAACCTCTCTTCGGTATACAGAGACATTTGGTATATGTCAGACCTAGTAATTTTACTTAGCACATGCTAAATGGATAGGAGACAGGTAAACTTTTTTTTTGGTTCTGAGGTTATTCAGATGTTCTGACTTAAAGTCATCAGCCAAAATATTCACTCTCAATTTCAATGAAAGTCAAGGGAAACATACTTGAAAAATATTTTACTTGTGTGCCTCTCAATCCACAAAAAGCTATAGAAGTATTAGAAATGATTTTTTAATCACTTGTAAACATTGAGTTGTTAAAACTAATGTCTCTCTTGATACTTGACCAAGCACATCACAAATAAAAACACAAGACCGTTAAGTTGTCTTTATGAAAGTTTCCAAAGATATACTGGCTGACGGTAAACAATTTACCCAACAGCCTCTGCTGAAACATGCGTGACGGCTGCACAATTCACAAAGTAGTATTCTCTACCTCCTAAGTTTTATTGGACAAAATACAATTAAACAGACAATACAACATAAAATAGCAACACAGGAGCATTCGCAGCAAATTTTTCCAGCTATCAAAATGGGACGTAACCATTACCTATTTATAAAGATTCTTAATCTTACCCACGAGCTCTGCACATTTGTTACATATCACATATGGGCAAGAGTATCTAAATCAAATGTTTATGTTAGACTGCAAAATCTATTTGCTATTTGGGTAGTAAAAGTGAACCAATTTTCATTAGATAAGCAGCATCTGTAGAAATTACAAATTTTTTATTTAAGTTTGTAAAAATTATTTACAGAATCTAGCATGTGTCAATTCAATTTGAAACTTTTTTTTTACTGCATTTGGGGTAATCTTAACCTCCTGACTAACATCCACGTATATAAGGATAAGGTATATAAGGATATAACTTTGTAATACAGAGGAATTAGTTGCTGCCCTGGGTTCAGCTGTAGCAGTCATTTTTCTCCTTCTTAGTAGCTGGTGCAGTGCTGTGTTTCTGACTTTCAGCCTGGGAACAACACTGATAACACCGATGTTTTTAGTTGTTGCTAAGTAATGTTTACTCTGACCAAGGACTTTCTCAGTCTTATGCTCTGTCAGGGAGGAGGAGAAACTGGAAGGAAGCAGAGACAGGACACCTGACCCAAAGCAGCCAAAAGGGAATTCCATACCAGAGCACCTCATGCCCGGTATATAAACTGTGGGGGCATTACCTGGAAGGACAGATCACTGCTTGGATCGGGCTGGGTATCAGTTGGCGGGTGATGAGCAATTGTATCCTCTCCCCTTGTTATTTTCCTTATCATTATTATTATTGGTGGTAGCGGTAGTGGTTTGTATTATACCTTAGTTACTGGACTATTCTTATCTCAACCCGTGGGAGTTACATTCTTCGGATTCTCTTCCCCATCCCTCCGGGAGTGGGGGGAGGAAAAAATGAGAGGAGTGAGCGAGTGGCTGTGTGGTTCCGAGTTACCAGCTGGGCTTAAACCACGACAGTTGTTTAATGTTTTTCATTCACTGGTGGATGCTAAAGTAGAATTTATTATACAATTAAAAAAAAAAAACCAAACTGAACAGCAACATAGTTTCTCTATTTCTTTTAGATTTATCTTAAATATCTTGTGTTATTATGTTGCCTTTCCAATCAGTCTTTATCCCCAAAACTTACACATAGGCTTGATGCCCTAAGATCAGTGAAAGTTCTTCTATTAATTAATTTTTCTAGTGACAAGCAAACAAGAGTGATGAGTATGTTTCCACCTTTATTACTCATTTTTCCCCTCTTTGGGAAGTAAGATGATGATCCCTGATATGGTCATTCTATGAAATTACTCCCACTGTAAATTAAAATCTTGTGTCCGCTTAAAAGATGACTAACACTGAGTGACCTACTATTTTTTTTTCCCAAAGGCTACAGTAGCCTTCAAGCTAACAAATCATACTGGTCAGTCTAAATTTTCTACTCATTAAGTTTAACCATTTAAGTCTTTTTTTATATCCAGTTGTATCACGTTACCATTTCCTCATTATTCTACCAAGGCCTGCTGTTAAGTATATGCTGCAGCACTCCACCTTTTTAAGGAAACAGGGTCTTTCACCTGAAATACCCAATAGAAGTATTAACCATTTTTACTGCATGTTGTGTTTTGACACTCCATGATTCTGAAAGAATGTGTAAGTTTCCAAGTGTGGTCATACAATAATCGCCTGGAAGGGACATACCACTTCATATCTCATAAGGAAAAAAAAGTTATTAACCATGGTTTGAGTTATTCAAAACCTACGAACAGATCCAAAAGTGACAAAGAATTATGCTCAAGAAAAAACAGGCAATGGGAAATTCTAAATTATGCTGGCTTATCGTCATTCAAATTACATACCTGTAATATCCCAGAATGGCTTACAGCTGCATGCGTCTCACTTGGAAAAGATATCATATGATCTGGAAAAAAGCTCTGTAATAATAATAATTTGTATGAAAGTTCAGTAAAAATAAATATAAAACTTCCTATCTCTTTTGGATGTAAAATTAAAATTCTCCATGCCTTGCAAGACACTGCTTATTCTCTGATCTAGTAATTCACATTTACCTTATGACCATTCCTAAATTTGTGGCATCATAGATATTATTTGCTGAAAACCTTCAAATTTTGAGAAAACATCAGTGGTCTCTGGAAGCAAGAGGGTTTCACACACCAGTGCAAGTCATACTGCAGTATTTGACCCTTAGTGCTGTTTTTCTAGTAGTAATTTCTATTGCTGTTGACATGTAAGAGTTGCCTGGGGGTTCAATATGCTGCGAAGTAGAGGCAACACACACCAACATTGTTTTGTATTGCTTTCCTTACAGTAGAAAGCTAGTAAAATACTTTGGAATAACTTTCATTACTAGAAGAACAAGTCCTCACAGTTTTTATCTAATTATCCATTTTGTGTATGAGTATCAGTTAAATCTGACTACATCAATATGGTATGGTTAAAAAGTTCACGTTTAAAATGCCAATTTCATTATCAAGGGAAGTTCAAGGGGTAATTTATGGACAGACCTGCAGCTGGGGAGTTCAATACAGTCATGCAAATATGAACCAGCCAAGAATTTTATCATTACTTATGAAGTTTTCTCAAGGCTTGGACAAGTTTGAAGCTAATATTCTGACCATCCAATGTCCACTGACCTTCATTTTTAATAAAACTGAACTACTAGTAGGGTTGATTCATATCAACTCATTTCTGATACAGCATTCCTGCTACACCTGGGTCCACAGCACCCACAAGAATGACTCAACAGAAACAGTAAGGTCTCTGATCAACCACAGTTGCTTATGCTAGTCATAGCTGCATGCCTGCCACACTCCACAGCTGGTTCCACTCACTGGTTAACCAACACACTTCTTTGAAAGCTTCTCAACTAACCATAAACCGTCTCAAGCTTAGAGTTTTTCACTGGTGCAATGGTACCTCTATGTCAGGGGAGCACATCATTTGCCCAGAGAAACACAGGTGGAGAAAGAAAAAAAACTCAGATCTCTTGGATCTTTTGGTAACTTAATATTTACCTTTTCATCCTTTTCACAGGTAGATAATTTGAGTTCCCTTCCACTTTCCACCTTTCAAGTCCTCATACATTTCTGCTATTTCTCCCTTTGACATCTGAAACAAGCTGGCTTTATAAGAGACAGCATTAGGAGTGATCCAAATACACCATGCATTTGAGCAACCAGATGGTGAATTTCTCCAGCTGAGCCAGGACTGCTTCCATGGCTTTTGCCATCAGCCATGGTGTGAATCAGCAGCATGAACCTTTGGCAACATCCTTGAGTTACAGTTGTCTCTGCTCTCCTTCCATTCCTTACATACACTAACTCTGGCTTCACTTCCACTTACTCATAATAGGTTATGGCTGCTCACAGCATTTGTGTCAGCTGTCATTTAGCTGCAGCTGTGAGAAGCTGCCATTGGGCAGCACTGGCCCATAACAGTCGATTTTCACTTTAACAATAAAATCCATCTTTGCTACAGATGCCCCTCCTCACAATGCTTCATTTTATTTTTTGTTGTCACTTGATGGAAACTTCACTCAGTTTCAAAAACTTTATTTTGTTGCAGGTCTGTGTGCAACACAAGCCCCTGTCTGCATGTCTGCCCCCTCACCCCCCTAAAAACTAAACGTATGAAGAGGGATGTTTTACAATTGCAACAAAGGGACTGGACAACAGTTACATGGCCAACACATATGTTCTTCTATCTCATATATTCCCTCCCAGTTACTCCTTTTTACTCACTAACAGCTTTACACTCTGCCTATCCACATGTAACAGAAATGACTTTCTTGCAACTACAGCAATTGCACAACTTCACAGATATAATATTAGGACTTACCAGCGGATTTTTAAAAAATTCATACTTGGCATAATTTTTTCTAAAATACAGTTTATTTTCTTCTTCCGTTACCCAATTTGACTGGACTTCCATTACTAATTCATGGTCCTCTATAGCTCTTCCTGTAAAAAAACCCAAGCAAATTAAAAAAACTCTCAGAAACCACATAAGCTGCACCTTAAGAACCTAAAAGTAGAATGTGAAAACACAAAGGTCAGGTAATAAAAATATTATTAAATCAATTTAAGCAAATACGAACAATGAAACAAGCAACCTGAACACAGTCCGCTACTTAGGTCCATGTTACACCAAACTGCTATTCCACCTCAATAGGGCCCAACTTCTGAGTTAGGTCATACGTGGGTTATTTTTGTTTGTGCTTTGTTTTTTTTTCTTTTACAAGGGCAGCTGAGGGTTTTATTCTATTTCATGGACAAATCCACATTCTCCCTGCAGCAGCTAGGCAGCTCTTGCTGTGTGATGTGTCGGGCAGAGACCACTTCAGCCATTCACTCAGCCTGTCTGGGGTTTCTGTTGGAAATGTCTTCCTAGCAGCCGTAGAACTAGCATATGCAAATGGAATGGTAAAAGTAAGCCATGAAAAAAATAAAAAACAAAACAAAAATAACCTAAGAAGTGAATCCTAATGTGCAGTTTGGCTTTGCAGTGGGGCAAGGGAAAGAAAAGGCAATGAACTCATCTACTTGTAGCACAGCACTGGCATACGGGATCGGTATTCTCACTGCTTTAGCCTGCTTCTGCTGTTTAGATTTTTGAGTGAGTTTTTCCATTTTACAGCAGTATGAAATGAACTTAGAGGAAAGACATAGAATTTAAGAACTTTGCTGTAGACGTGTGGTGCATGTTGACATGTTGTATACTTTGAGTAATGCAACGGGACTACTCAGTGCAGGAAGGCAAGCATAAATACTCAAGACTATGCATATATGCATAATTTGTGTACAACCCTATTTACCGCCCCTTTTTTTTTTATACATTTCATCAGCTTGTGAAATCACGTTACAAAAAACAAAACAAAACAAAACAAAACACAGTGGATGTGCTTCCAAATGAGTACACAGTTTTTGTGGCTACTTGTACTTTGTTGTGGACTCAAACTAATGAGAATAAGATGGCATTCAGCGAAGTTGTAGATTTTATTTAAATTATCATTGGCACCTCCAAATTTAAATTACGCTCCAGCAATGAGTTACAGGCTAAGAACAGGTTTGACATCTAAACTTATGCCTCTCTGCCAGTTACGGGATTTTAACATTCAATTCTGGTCATGGTTTCAACAGGAAAAGGCAACTAAAACTTCATTATAAAAACCATGCAACTCACAATTTTCTGATCCTGATTTTCTAATCCCATTTTCTCCGCTTAGAGAAATTTTATTAGAAATTGGTTTTAAGCATCCTAACAAATAAAGTAATAGTATTAAGAAAAACCCCAAAACTTAATTAAGCATAACATTAAATTAATACAAATGGTAAGTTTTGCAAGTGGTCCTGGCTAAATAAATAGCCTAACTTTCATAAAGGGTAGCATGGACAACCTTCTAAGAGATAAAAATCAAACCTCAAATTTGAAATCATTAAAACCTCTTTAGAACCACAGGGTCTTTCTATTGATCTTCTCTTGTCATCTTAGTCACTGCTTCATGCTTCCACACTGTCCAGTTTGGTGGGTAACAGCTTTATGGTAGCCCACAAATCTATAAGCTTCTCCAGGAAGTTTCCAGCTAGCAAATTTAGAGACGATACATTCATACAGCTAAATTTCACCTCAGTGGGAAAATATCAAGTTCATGAATGGCGTAAGACAAAGCACTCTGATGATCAAGTAGGGCAAAGTTAAAATTTCCACTGAATTTAACTCATTGCTGAGCCCATAAAGACAGAAATTAAGGATGCTACATGAAACTCACATTTTGTAAACAGATTAAATGAAGCACACAAAACTAGAAAGTAATTCAGAAAGCAAAAAATACCCCCAAAACAGAGAAAGAGAGTGAGTGTTTTAAAAATGTACAGGCTGCTCTACTGCAAAACACATTCTTCCAATGTAAGAGTAAAGAGACACTAAAGAACTGAAGCTCTTACTCAAAACCAGCACTTTTTTTATTTCCTTTCAATTTTATATAGAGAAAGTGCTCCTCTGAGATGACATTTAAAACTCTTAAATGCTTGGCATTCTGACATTTAAGAAAATACCATTTTCTCAAGATTTCCTTCTTGGTACAAAAATAAGACATTCTGCATCACCCCAATGAATGGGTAAGGCTGCTGGTATTTGTTTTTAAGGTGACATATCACAGAATATTCTACAATTTATTCAACTTACTTTCTTGAAGGAACCAAAACACTGAGTTAGTGTCCTCCAGAACATAGCCCTGTAATCAGATCCCTAAATGTTGCCATGAAAAAGCCACACTTTGGTTTAGTTAGATCATTTTTTCTCTTTCAGCCAGATTGCAGAGTTTCTACCTCCTTCTCTACCATCTTTCTATTACTACTACCTCTAACATGAAGACCACCTCCTCCGAAACATTTTCCTTAACAATGGAAAATAACTAAAGAACACGAAAGAAGATTTAATATTGAAATCCATGACAGACCATGTTTCAAATGGTCTCCTCTTTAGCCACCCAAATCGGGGAGGGCATTAAACTAAATAAAAACCAGAAAAGCCATTGCTCAGTACTATTGCACAGATAGTGCTTTGTGAGCCTTCCCACAGGCTACCTAAAAGAATGCAGATGGATAGCAAAATCAAAATGAGACAGTGAAACATAACAATGATGTGCCTGGCCAAGGCACTCTTGACTACTCACAGAGGAATCCTAGAATACAAGTCTATTTTGCTGCAGAAGCAAATGGAAAACTATTTACTGACAACACAAAGATTTCTCACTAGAGAAGGAAAAATTTCAGCATGAAGATAGTACTTTCTTTCGAAGGAGAACAGCTACGGAAAACTTATGTTTTCACAGCCTGCCCTGTATGTACAGGGGATCTGCAGTGGAACTATGGGACCCAAACACCAAGGTACCTGGTGGTAGGGATGACACAGCATTATCCAAATCCAGGCATACCTCAGTAGCCTTCAATAATCTCAGACAAGTTGAAAAACATCCATGAATTTCTTTGAATTCAGTAGCCGGGGACAATGAGACAAAGAGGGAACATACCAGAAGCACACAGCTCTGAAATATGTTGAGATTTATAGTGCTGTAATAGTTGTCATACTTCAGATATTTGAAATAGAGCCCAGGCTACTGCAAAACTTTGGAGGTGGGTAGGAAGACATCCCAGGTGATGATGCAGAGGCAGCGGGCTGTGATGTGTGCCCACAGGCAGGCAGATGGAGAACACCAGTCAGTGCTTCAGGGAGGTGGTGCAGGTGGAGGAACCATCTCACCTGCCCACTTGCCCTGAGTCAACACCTCGTGGTCAGTGCTTGCCATGCCGCATAGTGAGGACAAGACAATGCTTAATGTCCAACAATCCAGCTCCACACTAAAGGGCATATAGGATTGTGAAAACAAGAATATACAGACTGTGGATTTATGTTTTGGTTTAGCTGGAAATTTCTTTTTTTTTTTCTTCTTTCTTAACTTTCACACGCAGGTACCTCCACACAGCAATGAACGAACACTCCAGTGATGTAATTAATGTCTGTCTTGATTAAAAGCAGAACACTGTGCTCAGCTCACTAAGATTCATGCAATTATATCTAATTCAGGAGTATTCAGACAGCTGTTAGATATTAAAGAAAATGTTCACTAATTGATGAATGCATTATTAATCCCCATAATACTGGAATTTATACAAACACACACACTCACAGTATTTCTCTTCTCTATATCCATTCGTTTAACTTGGGAGCAGAAAAAGACTATCCAAATTTCCATGGGTAAAATGAACAACAAAATAATAAATAGCAAACAGTTCAAAACTAAATTGTCATTTGAAAAACATTTGTTCACACTACTCATCCAGTGCTTATGAATATATTTAATGCAAGTCAAGATCAGTATGTTAAGCCCTTCAAACAAAACCAATCTAACACTGTCATAAAAATAAATCCATTATTATTCAGTATCATTAAAAAAATAGAAGAAATCTCATGTTGTTCTTAGTAATGCTGAATTGCAATTTTTAAGGGGAGGTTTAGACTGGATATTAGGAAAAATTTCTTTACCAAAAGGGTGATCAGGCACTGGAACAGGCTTCCCAGGGAAGTGATCGAATCACCATCCCTGAAAGTGTTCAAAAACCAGCTGTTAGTGACATGGTTTAGCGGTGGACTTGGCAGTCCTGGGGTAGAGGTTGGACTTGATGATCTTAAGGGTCTTTTCCAGCCTAGTTGATTCTATGATTCTGAGAAACTGTTATATTTTAGAAATCATTAGTTCACAACTTTCTAAAATTATGCCCTAAGCACACAAGCAATTTTTATGATTTCATCATCTCAGGAATAGCAACTTCACTAATGATTTGATATTGTAATCTTCCAAGAAATCCTTCAGATTCAAGAAAGCACTATCTGACAAAAGTGTATTGTGCAAATAAACAAACCTGAGAAACAATGCCACTATTGTTCTGGCACAGTTTGTCAAAAGTGTCTTCTTCAATAGTTACTACACTACCTAAACACCAGCCACACCATAAAATACAGAAAACACTACTACTATCTATATAGTAGTGCTGTCTAATGCCATTTATTATACCTCCTCTTCTGTAGCAGTGCTCAACCTAGATTTAACTCTGACCTTACTCTGAGTTGGAAGCATCTTACAACTGATAACATTCAGTGCAAAAGGTTATAAATATCTTTGAAATGTTACAAAGCAACAAAAAAAACCTGAAAAACGTCTGTGTCTGCCTTCATGGGATAAAGGACCAAAAAAGGGCAGAAGACAGTTTTAGCTTTTGAAGTTCACCTTTAAAATACAGCTGCACAACATAATACAGTCATAGCTGCAGAGTCAGGTTTATTTTAAACAAATGCACAAGTCCAGATTCCCTAGATAAATACACAGAAAGGGAGTTTAACAATAGCTTTTAGCCATATATAATTTCCATGGGGGGGGGGGGGGCACTGTTTTGTTTTTTTGTGTGGGGGGGGGGGGGGGGTCACTGTTTAGTTTTTTTGGTGGTGGTGTGTGTTTTTTTAAAAAATCTACAGTACTGGAGTTGCCAGGTACCAGTGCAGTCTCTTCTGAGAATTAAGGACTCCAAGGAGTTTCCTATGTGCTTTAGGATGCAGGAAGGCCCCAAAATCTCTTCTTTCTTAAGCCATGCTTTCCACTGGAAGCTGGAACTGCCTTTGAGGTTGCTGAAGTACTATCTTTGGTAACTCTAGTACAGTGCCAAAGTTCAAGAATAATATGGAAGCTTTCAGTGACATGAAATTAAAAGCAGATTTTCTTAATGGTATTTCTCTTCTAGTAATTTTTTTTATATAATTCCCTATCAAAACCAAACACAATACAGAACTGAAAAGTAGTGCTATAAAAGCAAGTAAGATTGTCTGACTAGAGTATCAGTTCAATACCACATCCTAGCAGTGGATTTCTAAATTCATCTTTTGCTGTGTGAAGTCTTTCCTGTGTTCTGTATTTCTTACATCTCTGCAAACATCCCCTTTGTTCTCAGATTTCTCTTAATGTATTTTCATACTGCAAATTTACATCTCTACACTTGAAAAAGGAACGGAGACCAGAAGGCACAACTATAGTTGCAATCTGAAACCACAGATTACACCTTTTAAACTGTGTAACAGAAAAAGAAGGAATACCGATGACATGGAAGGAGTTCAGAGTGTTTCATTTCCAGCAACTTAAAATACTAAGCATAAAGTCACTTCAACATAGCTCATTGGTCTATAACTGGAAGTTCAGAAGAATGGTTTTGTTTTGCCTTTTAAGTAGTCCTGTCCCAGAGATCACAATAAATCTAGCCAAACTGATTGTATCGAAAGAAAATACTGACAACCTACTTTAACATTGTTTCTGAACACTGAGTCCTATTGTCCAGATATAATAGCAGTATGTAACTGCTTTCTGTCTTTGATGTCAGTGATTTCACTCAGGTGTGTTGAAAACAGCAAAGCTTTTGTTGTCTTGCTAAAGACAAGCAGGAAATACCAGTAAAAGATGAAGAACTGCCAAAGAAAAGCAAGTAAGAGTGAGGGAGAATTTCAGTGAGAATCGTAAAGTGGGCAGCATCTTCCAAATCACTCTTACAGATGGAAATCAAGCAGCATGAGGCAAATGTACTATGACTAAAGGTACTTTATTGCTATGCTTTCAACAAAAAGAGAAACAGAAGCAACAAACCCCCAAAAGAAAAAATTCAAAGAAGCCCGCCCTCATTTCACTTCCAAGCCTTTCTATAGCCATTGTACTTTCTATGTGAAAATGAAAAGCAAACACCTTATTTACTGCCATACAATTGTATGTTATTAAACTTACCTAAACCTGTGTGGGTAAGTTGTTCAAACAGAGTCCAGCTATGGTCATCAATGTAGTGGTTCTTCAGTATCAAGAGCTGACATACATCCCTGGCTGTTATATCACTTGGTACTTCCAAAGCTCTGCTCGTATCATCTTCACTATACACTTTAATTACCTGTGATAAATAAAAAAGCTAAGATATCCATAAGTTTAACCTTTGATTCAGTTAGTCCTAATACATTCCTCTCTCATGACTGAGACAAGAACCTATACACATAGGATGCAATACTAAAGACAGCCATTTCTCTCTAGTGCAATGGTGTAATTGAGAACGAAACAGGTGAGTAAAGCATATCCCACTTTGAAATTTGGCTGCTGGACACCTTTTGCCACATGATATTAGAAAGATTGTTGCATTCACTTAAAAAAGTATAAATAATAGAGAGGTAAATAAACCTGGTGAAACCATACATTCTTACATAAGCTAAAGAAGAAACCAGAGGATAAAAAGTGAAACTCAAGAATTCAATGACTGCAGAACTGTAAGATTTGATACAGAGCTAGTTCAGAGAACAATCAGGTTCAAGACGCTCATAATTCTATAGACAATAAAATGAGGAAATGCTACAGATGTGCTTCAGATTTTGACAAGCAAGAACTGAAACTATGAGTTAATAAAAAGACATATAAACATACATAAAGAATCAAAAATATCACACATGGGAAAGAATTACCATCATATGAGGACCAGAGAAGTAAACAAGATGTTGTAGAAGATGCAGATGCAAAAAATCTTATTACAAGTACGCAATTTTGTTCACGTTCTATCAGTATTTTTTCCAAGTTTCTTTATTCTACGGGGGCGGGGGGAGGGGAGGAAGAGGAGGCAATACAAACTTTCATGAGTTATCCTGTCATTTTCACTTTTAAATGTTAGTTAAAAAGTTATTCTTCTCCACTGGTACATATTTTAAGAGTCCTGAAGAACAGGTGTCCATTAAGTGCTCGAAGAGGTGAAACTAAACTTGCTGATGCTTAGTTTCAAATGAAAAGGCTGAGGAAGTCTTATTTCATATTGACTGACTGAAAGAAGGCATGACCAGTTAGGTATTTTTTCTGTATTTTCTTTCTCTGAAGGAGAATTAATCAAACGGATCAGATAAATCTGTGAACTGGATGGAACTGATACAAATCACAGTGACTATGTCTATTAAAGTCAACACAGAAGGGTTGGGTTTTTTTGGTATAGGAGTAGAAAATAATTTCATATTCCTGACAGCAGTCAGGAAACTCAACACTCCATTAGATTTCCTCTATTTTGTCTTTTTTAAAAGTAGACAAAATACAAACAGTGAAAAATATTGAAGCTCCTCACACAAGGATCAACTCCTATCTGTGGTATTATATGTGGAAATAGTAAGATAGTTTCCAGAATAAAATAGATGTTTGAGATTATAAACACAGGCAGGTAAACATGAGCAGTAGGAATAGAAGATCAGATGCAACATTAAACATGCCATAAAAGTCTTCCAGGTACTCAGAAACACACTAAGTGATCAGGTCTGGTATGCAGTACCTTGTATTTTCAAACAAGCATTTTCACTGAAAAGCCACTCAGTGTCATGAGATTGGGAAGTAACTACATGTATTAATTCTCAAGAATCGGATTTATTCCCCAATATTTACATTTTCCAGTAGTGTGAAGTAACAGTGTTATTCGTTCTCTACAAAAACAATGAAGAGCGTGAATGTCCATCCCCAATGCAGTGCCTGCTGTGTACTGTGCCAGTGGAAACACTAAGCAGCTCACTTGCTAGTGACAGTGACCACAGCAGCAAGGAATTCAGCACAGGTTAAGCTACCCTGCCTGTGCCAAAGCACAGACAAACTCAAGACAAAGAGCATCCAAGACGTTTTTAATTTATCCCAAAAATCCTCCTCTCAGTTTATTCAATTCATCCATATTCATCTGAATACATCACACACCTTACCCGAACTTTATACACAAAACCTAAACACCGTTGTAAACCCTTCATTAAAAAAGACACAAATTCTTAAAGACAATCAAACATGTTATTGTCAATCAGTCCTTAATTTACTACCTTACTAAACACATGCTGATTTCAAGCATTTAATGAACAATCAGCAGTGTATTGTTGCCCTAACTTGTTACAGCAGCTCCTGCTGTTTTGTGCTGAAGTTGGTAGGCAAGCGAGCATAAAGCTTCAACTTTATCTCCTGCCACCTGCTTCTCTCCCATTAACTGCAAAAATTCTCCCCTGACCTCCCCGACAAATCAGGTCAGCTCACCCATGCTTTCTAAACATCAGAACAAGGAAAAAGGACTCCATTTGAAAACCACATAGTGATTAAAGCACCTTGATGGCCTTACTCCCCTTCAAAATCCTGCTTTTCTCTATGGAACTACATATACGGCAGTTCTGTTACAAACTTTGGCCCTATGTATTAAATCAGCATGAAGTCCATGCTGATTTGGTTTAGTATTTCAGCTAGTAGTGATGACAGCTCAAGACTTCCACCCAAGGTTCAGTCACCCTTGCCACAACACTAATCTCCAGGATACAGCAAACATTAAAAGTGGTGAAATCTCTCTCTACTTACGAATCAACCACCTCAGAGCAAGAGTCTTCCTGCAAAAAGAGGCAGACCTGGAGAAAGCAGATTCAAAGTTTCCACAGGCCTAAGCTACATCCCATTACTAACATCCAATACAAAAGGCAAAAAGACCACATCAATATTGAATTGAATGACCAATACCACCAAAGCCGCCATGGTTGACAGCTACGCTTGGTTTTCTAAGGTGTGTACACTTTGGCAGCATTCCCAAGTGGGACCAGTTAGCAATGCAGCCTGCTTGCAGTAGGGTCTTGTTCCACACACACAGACACACCAAACTCCTGCTCAAGTCTCACAGGAATCATGTTTTATAGTCCATGAATTATTTAAAATCCTGCAGTATTTACAGAGATTCAAAGATGAAATTAAAAGAAGCGTCTAGCATGCTGTTCTGCAAATGAGGTAGAGGGCTGTACAGGTGAGTAGACAAAACAGCATGCCCATCACCTTAAAACATGTCCTACTCTGGGCAGCAGTGAAGGTCAGGGACAGCTTCATTAGCCTCTTCAGTAAGTCTGTATGAGGCTGAATATAAAAAGATTTTACAGGCTAAAGTGCCAGAAAGGAGAGAGGCAATATAGAAGGGGAAAGAAAAGGACAGAATTAAAGCAACTTTCCCAGTATAAGACTAGATGATCATGGTAGGTCCCTTCCAACTGTGTTTCTCAATCTCTCATAGAGACAGGGTGAGAATCCACGCCAGCGCCCTGGCTAGGGACCCTGCAAGAACGTACTAGCCACTACAGTTTTCTCCAGGTACTCAAGTTAGTGTGCTTGTTTTACAGCAAGAGCACGTACAGCCCATGCTGAGGCCCTTGACGGACGATTTTTACAGAAATTCTTTTTAAAAGGGTTAAGGGTCGCACTGGAGATGACTACACTCTTATTGCTGAGGAAATAGAAAAAGACTTTTTAAAATGCTGAAGACAGCAGCACAAGTCATGATAATGAGCTGCCTGTGGCCATTCAACTCAGGGAGTGGGAAGCCTTGGAGGTGGCCTTGGACTACAGGAGCACAGCAAAAACAAAACAGCACAACAAAAAAAAACAATGGGAAAAAAATCCACCCAGAGTTTATATTCTCTGTGAGTATTTTCACTTGGCTTTGTCAGTATAGTGAAATAAATCCTGCGCAAGTCTAGAACAATGGATCACCACAGCTTACAGCTATGACATGTTACCTTATAAAACACAAATGCTGTGCCCTTTTTCCCTTCCTTCAAGGGATTCAAATACAGCTGGAGAAAACAGACATCTAATAGACCCTTCTGAACTTCTGCTACAATTTGAGTTTAATGAATTGAATGTGATGGTGTAAATTTAATCAGTTAGAGTGACCTTTGAGGGGTTTTTAATTAGAAAATGTTGCTCATTCTGTGCTTTCTGCTGTGTTTGAAGCAAAGTCTCCTATAGGATTTGCTGGGAATGTATTTGTTCCAAGGGGAGTGGATCAGATGAAAAAGGATAAATTCAAAATCCCTTTTTTCCTTGGAAATATGTTGCAATAAATACTTCTTTTCCCCAAAATAGGGGATGCTCCAAGAATTAAAGGGTGGCGGAATCATGCTAAAGATGCAGTTACGTTCACCTCCCACAGAGATGAGGAAACCTGAGTGACCACTTTTTTATTTTTATTAGCAGTTACCATCATGCATTGGGGTGTCCAGTCATCCC